ATCAACACAACATGAATAGGCTGTCAAAACACAGAACACCATCATTCTCCAAGTGGATAGCAAATATATCTACCTTGAATAGAAACATGGAAATAATAAAAAATTTGAAAAGATGAAACCCTTTGATGAGCAGAGAGATGAGTCATGCTCTAACAAAGGGTTAGCGTGAGTCCTTTTTGTTTGTTGGGAAAACTCATTTTCTTTCAGGCGCTCAGGAGAATTTAAAATTTTCCCTACTGAAAAAACACACCTAATTTATTTTGTGACAAAATATGACATAGTTTCTTATTCATCTCTTATAAATAAAGGAAAAGTACTGGGAAATGTTTTCTCTTCAATTTAACAGTGTGCTGTGAGGTGGCTAATGCCATCGACTTTCATGGGCGCCCTCTGCTGGCACCTACTGGAGATGTTTTTATTTTATTATTTTATTAAACTTCTATTGTGGGCTTCAGTATTACTATTATTTTTTTTTTCACGGAATAGGATTTAGAGCACGGGGTAGAAAGAGAACATTTATGAAAAAAGTCTCATAAACCAAACATGATAACACAAGGCTACAACTACAGCACTTAGGAGTTCTAGGCTAGGGCATTTGAGTTAGGACGGGACACCAAGTGAAACTGTGTCGTAAACAACAATGGGGGAGAAAAGGGACATGGGTCAGTTGGTTGAGCACTTGCCTAGCAGGCAGGAAGCTACAGCACAGCATAAACTTGGCAAGGTGGCACACCCCCGTAATCCCAGGGGGTCAGATGTGCAGGTTGACCTACACAATGAGTCTGAGACCAGCCTAGGATATATGAACACATATTTTTTTTTTTTAAAAAAAAAAAAATTGCTTTTGATTTTCAAGGCAGGGTTTCTTTATGTAGCCTTTAGCTATCATGAAATTCACTCTGTAGACCAGGATGCCCTTGAACTCACTGAGATCTGTGTCTGCCTCCCGAGTTCTGGGATTAAAGGCGTGTGCCGCCACCACCCAGTTTACCTATCAAAACGTGTTTGCTTTTTCAAGACAGGGTTTCTCTGTAGCTTTGAAGCCTGTCCTGGAACTCACTCTGTAGACTAGTCTGGTTTCGAACTCACAGAGATCCACCTGTTTCTACCTCCTCATTGTTGGGATTAAAAATGTTTGCCATCATCCATCACAAAAGGAAAAAAATTGAACAAAATGTTAAAAATTCAGATTTGGGTAAGAGGGGAAGTTATAAAGCAGGAGTGTGTAAAACAAGTGAAGTGCAGTGCACCTCCATGGAGACAGGCTGGCCCAGCAGGGCGTGAGCACACAATCTGAGCCTTGGGTGTGGAAGACCCATCCCAAAGCCTGAGTTTATATCCCTCGTACTCATTAAGTCTTTCCAAGAAACACTGCCAGCTCATTCCTAGACCACAAGATTGGTGCATTGAGCGACTCTGAAGGCTCATACTCGCCTAGGATACCCGCACGAGGCCCTCAGACTGACCCAGCACTATGAAGAGGGAAAGGCTGATTTGTTTTCAATACACAAAAGTCAGCATATGTATTTTCTATAGTTTTTTTCTATAAGTAAGTCTCTTCTTCTTTTTCTGAAACAGCATATGTATTTTCTATAGTTTTTTTCTATAAGTAAGTCTCTTCTTCTTTTTCTGAAACAGGTCCTTGTGTCGCCCAAAATGGCTTTGCACTTGCTGTGTGGTCACGGATGACCTTCCTCATCTGATGTCACACCTTAATGGCATTTGACACTAACGTGTTACTTCTAGGAGAAACACAGAATAAGAATACAATGCTTGCAAGGTGGATTTTCCTACTTGCACTCTTGACCTTCTTGTTTTCCACTGTGCTGTGAGTCAGTATATAAGCCCACTCCTGCCCCTCAATAAATGGCAGTCGGCATTCTGACATTGCAGTTGAACGAATGACCCGCTGTCTTGTCTCTTATTTCAATCTCTAGGCCTTTGGCCAATTAGTGGACCAGATGGTATTGCTGGCACTAGAGGAAGAGGGACTAAGAAATTCAAGGTCACCTCAGCTACACAGTAAGACTGGGGCCAGCCTGGACTCATGAGACCCTACTCCAAAGAACAAAGTCTGCTATGAGCTCTGAGCATTGATGAAGTAGAAATGACAGGAAAGGACCTGTTCACACAGAAGCAACACAGAAAAAACAGAAAGTTTATTCCACAGAGAGAGAGAATAGGAAATACAACCCTGGACCAAAACGGCCTGAGTTGAAGGTTGGGCTAAGAGAGAACTTGGTTGCACAGTTTGGCGGAGGAGGGTCTTAGAGGAGGGAACATATTATCTGAAGTGTTCACAGTGAGTCAGCCACTTAAAACACCCAAATAGGCAGCTGATGTCACCTGCCCTCTCACTGTCCAAGGAGACAAAATTATGTGTTGAGTGACATGGCTAAAAATTACATTTTTCACCTGTGGAACTGGGTAACCTGATATTAAAAGCAATATCGTAGATGTAAGGATTCAGGCATTACGCTGGCCTGCCCCTTTCACCTGGCAGAAAGCACTCAGGCAATATCTGGTCAGCCCAGGTGCAAAGGACCCATTTAAAGCAAAGACCTCCCACTTATGCTCTCTCTTTCCCTGGGGCAGACAGGACTTGTTTTGTGTCCCTCTTCTCTTCTGTCCTCTGTCTCTCTGTGTCTTTACCTCTGTTCTCTTTCCTTCCCCCTTCCCTTCCCTTTCTAATAAAACTTCTCACTTAAGCTCTATCTGCCTGGAGTGTTTGTCATCCCCCCCCAAATCCCCCCCCACCTGCCATAGAATCCGCTAAGGATGATTCCATGCATTATTACTCATAACACTAGATGACTAAATAGTGGCTCCATAATAAAACCTAAGGTACTGTTATGGCCGGGGGAGGGGGTGTCAAAAAGAATGAAAACAGTGTTAGGTGCCAACAAGACAGCTCAGTGTTAAAAGGTGTCTGTCACTGAGCCTGACAACCCAAGTTTGGCAGTTACATTGTGGACGGAGAGAACTGATCTCAAAGGCTCAAAGGCCATTCTCTGATCTTCACATATGCACAGTGGCATGATGGAGATGGGAAACACACAATAAAATCTTAAAATGTTAAAAAAATAAAAATAAAAACTATATTAAACTAATCAGAAGATTTGACAGACAGTTCTGCGGTAGAGATTCACAAAGTATGTACAGACTCTGGGTCTCAGCCCTGCAATTGAAAATAAAACAAAAAACTAAATTGTTTTTAAAAGTTTAAAAAATTGTATTTAAAATTTACAAAGGAGGGCTGGAGAGATGGCTCAGCAGTTAAGAACACTAGCTGTTCTTTCAGAGGTCCTGAGTTCACTCCTCAGAAACCACATGGTGGCTCACAACCATCTGTAATGAGATCTGGAGCCCTCTTCTGGCCTGCAGCCATACATGCAGGCAGAACACTATACATAATAAATGAATAAGTAAATAAATAAATAAGAAGTCCCAAAGAAAATTGGTTAAAAGTATTGGTGGATCTTAATTTTGTTGTTGTGCTTTTGGCTCTTTTTGAGATAGGGTCTAATGTGCCTCAGGCTGGCCTCAAACTTCCTATGTATAATTAAATATGCTACTGAATTTCTGATCATCCTGCCTGGATCTCCAAGTGCTGAGAATACAGACAGATTCCACTGTTCTAGTTTTATGGGTTTATGTGGTGCAGAGCTTTATGTGCTGTCAGAAAACACTCTATCAGCTCCCTAGCATCCACAGTCCCCCATAAATTAACCAGAAAGCCTAATTTGAACACTTGCATGTCGCGCGTGTGTGTGTGTGTGTGTGTGTGTGTGTGTGTGTGTGTGTGTGTGTGTGTGCGCACCAGGGTCTCAAACCCTTAATCTTGAGGCCTTATCCCTGCACAATGAGTGCTGGCACTATAGACATGGGTTAAGTGGTGTGTGACCATTTCATACCAATACAAACAATTTAGTCCAGGAAAAAAAAGCATTCTAAATTTCTATATTTGTTGTTGTTTGAATAAGAATGGCCCCCATAGGCCCATAGATTTGATAACCAGGGAATGGCACTATTGGAAAGAATTAGAAGGATTAAGAAGTGTGACATTGTTGGAGGAAGTGTGTCACTGGGAGTGGGCCTTGAGGTTTCAAAAGACTAAGCCAAACCCAGAGTCTCTGCCTGTGAATCAAAATATAGCTCTCAGCCACTGCTCCAATACCTGCCTGTATGCAGCCATGCTTCCCATCATGACAATAACGAACTAAACCTCTGAAACTGTAAGCAAGCACCCAATTACATACTTTGTCTTATAATAGTTGTCTTGGTTATAGTGTCTCCTCACAGCAATAGAACAGTATCTAACACAGAAGTTGGTATCAGAAGTGGGGTATTGCTGTGACAGCCCTGACTATGCTCTTTGTTCTAGGAATAGTGGCTGAAATGCTGTGTGGACTCTTGAAGTTGGACTGAATGCATTTTCACATTAGGATATGCTACAAGCCTATGGGGGCCAAGAGTAGAATGTGGTACTTGCTTGCATGCTGATAATGCACTAAACTCTGAAACTATAAGCAAGCCCCCAGTTAAATACTTTGTCTGTCTTGTAACAGTTGTCTTGGTCATGGTGTCACTTCACAGCAATGGAATAGTGACTAAGACAATACTGATATGAACTAAGCTAATATTCAAGTCTGAAATGGGATAACAGAGTTGGCTTGAGAACTTGTTTTCACTACTGAGACTTTTCTGGCTGAGATGGTTCAAGCACACACACACACACACACCTTTTCTAACACTTAGGACAGGCATGGAGCTTCACAGACAAAGGCCAGTCCATGGCAGGCTTCACTTGGACAGGGATATGGTGTATCAGACAAGATATCAGTGTCATCAGGGAGGTCACAGAACCAACCACCTGTCAACCCTAGGGGGAAAGGATTTGGGCTGGACCTGGGATTTGGGCTGGATCTGGATACAAAGAAAGCGGTCACTGAATCCAGTTGGAGCCAGAAGTGTAGGCAGGGCAAGAGACAGAGGCGTGCTTCCAGATGGACCTGTTTTAATTCCAAACAAGATGCAAACACAAACTTTCCCAGTGCCATACTGGGTTTTCAGTCCATAAAATACACTTGTTCCTAAAACTCTTCATAAAATCGGCCTTTCCCTGTGCAGTGGGAAATTGGCAAAGAGTCAAAGGTTAAAATGTGGTGCACAATATTCCATTCACCATCATTAGGCAAGTCTTCAAGTCCTCACAAACAAATGTGAAAACACAAGATGAATCGTACTTCATGACACTTTGCAGCATCTCAACATTTTCCTTCATTTGTTAATGTTCTGATTTCAAAGACCTTAGTATTCCAAAGTGCAACCTTTCCATAAAACAGGAAAAGGAACCAAGCTGTCGTATACTGTAAAGATTATGAAGCATAACATGCCTGTAAGAATAAAACCCAAGTATTCTGTCAGATACAGCGGGTGGTCCCTTTGTCCCCTCCATTCCCCTTTCATCCTGAGAGCTCTTCAGACATATGTGGCCATTCACTGAATGATTTCTGCAGAATTTGGCTCATAATTTGGGAAGAAAATACCATTTTAAGGAACTCTGTGAATATATTAACTTTCCTCTTTCTTAGAGGTAAAGTTAACATATATTTCACACCTTTAAATGGCGTAGAACAGTAATGAAACTCCAGGTGTAGCTCAGGGTAAAGCACTTGCCAAGTGTTTAAGGCCCTGGGTTCCGTGCGCAGCACCTTGACAAGATGCACTCAAATAAGAACGGAAATTTCAGGTTTTAAAAACGCCCTGTGATTTTTGAAGATGGGCATCAGTTTATACCCTAAACATCAACAATGATGGTCCCGTGGGGGAGGTACTGATGCCAGGTGGCCAATTTTTAAAAATCTATTCATAAGTAAAATCAGTGTTTAGAGATGTTGGTGTATTCAGAAGTACAACCTATCAAAAATTACCACAGAAAAGACGGATATTAGAAGGTCAGGCAAGTCTGCTCTCAAATTTCAGACAAAAGGGAGGCCAGTGACAGTGACTTGAGCAAATCAGCAAGGTCACCTGTAAGACTATCTTCATACACACACAGCACACACACACACACACACACAGTGCTACATTTGTTTTACATATAAAGATGCTAGTAAGATAAATGAAAGTCAGAGTGAAAGTCACTTGTCCTCTTTGCTGGGAACAGGAGGCACCCATGCTTCACGGACTGGAAAGGCTCTGCTCCCCTTTCATGATGCACTGCTTCACGACTCGGTTGAGTGTCCTCTGGACAGTCCCTAAATGTAGCATGCATCATGGGCAGAAGTTGGGATGGCAGGAAGGAGGGCAGGGTGTTCATCTCAAATCTGGAATCCCTTCCTATACACAAGATGCCCACACTGGCAGTGAAGACCATTTATGAAGGTAAGGCTGGGCAGTTGGAATGTCTAGCCTACACAGAGAAACTCGGGGGAGTGGGCAGTGCTGGCGTCTGCCCTTCACACACAGGGATTCCCGTGAGGGCTCTCCTGGCAGAGATGAGCATATGTGTCTTTAAATTACAGGTTAGGTATCCCTCATCTGAAAAGCCTGGGACAAGAGTGTTTCAGAGTTTAAATTTTTCTAGACTTTGGGATACTTGCATATATATAACAAAATATCTTGAGAATGGGACCCACGTCTAATTAAGACATTCATTTGTGCTTTTTATACACCTTATCTACATAGCCTGAGGGTAACTTCACACAACAGGTTTAATAATTTTATGCACAAAATAAGCTTCCATGGTCTGGAATTTTCCACTTGTGCCATCTGGGTCTTGGGATAGTTCAAATTTTGGATTAGGATGACCAACCAGCATTACCTGGATGTCTGCACTAGGTAAAAATGTTTTTAATTACTGTATTTTACATATGCATATAAATATCAAAGTATTTGATCCTTACTATTATAATTTATCTAGCTACTCACATGGATATAACTCTATGGTAGTTTTCATTTTAAAATACCTTTTATCTTTGAATTTTTTATAATAGATATCTTTCAGAAAAATCCTGTTTAGCTATATATATTAACATTAAATAACTTAAAAAATAAACAATATACTATACCAAAATTGTCTAGTTTTCAGCTACAAGTGAAAAAGTTGGGTTTTCAAGAATGGACTAGCCCTTCTCCCAAAAATGAACTAGCCCTTCTAAAGGTATTTCTCATAATTTTAAGGTCTTATTAAGCTGGGTTTATTTTCTCACTATTACAAATGTATACATTCCACTCTTAGTAATTTATGCCAGGACTATGCCTAAGTAACAATAGGCTATTTTGCTTTTCTATCTTGACTTATTTCATAATAGGTAACTTACTCTACATTTAAATAAGTTTGTTTCCAAAAGATTTTCTCAGGGAAATATTCAGTACATGCAGTATCTTGCCTTCTCAGAATAGGAGTAGAAAGTAATTTCCAAGTCGCCCTTAACTCCCACTGAATGTACAGCATCCTTCTCATAAATTAACCCTCTGGGAGAAGGAAAGCTTTTGAAAAGAAGCATGTCCTGCTAGAAATCCTGTCAAAATTCCCACAGGAAACACAACCATGTCGGAGGCAGAGAGGAGATGTAGTCCCCAGTGCTGGCCTCAGAGTGTCCCTGACCCTGCTCTGAACCCCACTTCAACCTGAAGAACTGAAGAAAAGCTCACATGAATTTTAGCTCCTCAAAAGTTATTACCTCACCCACAGCCAGAGAAGAACACAATAGAGGCAGGACCTAGGGCTATTTCTAGCTCCTCAAACTGTGACCATTAATACCACACGGGCTATAATAAAGAATAGAGAAAATGGCCCAGATGTTCTTAAACTTGTCAGTGAGTCACTCTTTAAATGTAGATTATTATAAGGTCTGCAAGATACAGATTCCAGTACTCATGAGAAGCAAGGAAAAGTGCCAATGATTGAAAAGTGCGGGTCTTTCCAAAGCAAACAGAGGAGGTCAAGAGCTTCGAGCATCTGAGGTGTGTACTCCATCACAGGTTCTGATCCAGCCATTTGATGTAACTATTCCTAGTCCGGATTCCCACAGAGAAGTTGGTTGGCCAGCTTGTGAAAATCATACAACCATGGAAGCCATCCTCAAAGTGGTCCAAGGTCACGTTCACACCTGCACTCTCCAGGCGCTTGGCATACATGATCCCATCATCCCGCAGGACATCATGCTCACAGGTGAGGATGTAGGTTTTCGGGAGGTCCTGAAGCACTTCCTCATCTGCGATGAGCGGGGAAGAAGTGGCATCCAGCAGTTGAGGGATCTCCTGGGTGATCCTGGCATCACCTGTGGTCTGTATGACAGGCTTATAGTTCTTTCTGATGGATGGGGGCAACAGGGATGTCCAGTTGAGACGGGCCCTGAGGGCTGCAGCCCTTTCCACATCAAGGGCCGTGTGATTGTTCACAATCATGGCCTGTACGAAGTCATAGTTGCCTTTGAAGTAATCCACCCAGTACTTCACCATGACGTGGCGTGGCAGGATTGGAGTGTTCACATTCTGCTGGTAAGAAGGTGTGTTGAAATCCAACGCTTGGAGGACTGGATAGATTAAAGCCTGCAGTTTGAGCTTATTTTTTAGGCTGGCAATGTAAGTAAACTAGAATAGAAGAAACATATCATGTCATTTGCATGGATCCTTTTATAGAAAGCAGTTTACAGATGTTTTAAATAAACGAGTGGGCCTTTTTATGAATGAAATAAAGCATTCCATATAGCCACGCCCTGCTAAGCTGCTGGGCAATTCCTAAGGAATGTCTGTTGTTTGTGACTCAAGGTTCTGAATGAATTCACTGTTTTGTGACTCCTGAGGCCTCTAAACCCCCAATAACACTCTGCTTGTTTCTATTTATCTTTTAATACTTACAAACCTTGTTGCATATTATGTGTAAGTAAACTGTGGGTCTTATTTAACTTTTTAATCCCTATAAGGTGACAAATGGCAATGGCTTCTGGAGTGGGGGGGGGGATCTCAAACCTTCCTCTCTTAGAGGCGAAGAACAGGCTCCAAGGTTTACAGTGCTCAGTGACGAGCAGTTAGCCGCTATGCTGGGACAGTGAGTTCATACAGACAAGCGATGAGTGCATGCCCAGAGTGAGCTTGAAGTGGAAGGGATATGACTTCCAATGCCAGCAACCTCAGCTCACCCACGCCTCTCCACAGGGTGACTATATTGCCCCATTTTGTAATGCCATATCTCAAAAGAAAATGGATGGAATCAGGGAAACCGAGCAACCCTCACTTTGCTTGGAGTCCCATCTCCTGGTAAGATATGTGTGAGCACTGTGTATATGTGGTCGCACGAAGTCCTGCAACACTCCTGCAGATAGAGGACACTATCTTCACATAGATCAAAGGGACCTCGGCATGGGCTTGTATCTCTCCAAGGTGGAGCTGAAATTCTGATTGTCTTTGAGGCCTATGCGCCAGGCATGGTGGTATGCACCCACAATCCCAGCACTCCAGATAGTTAAGGCAATAGGAGCAGAAGTTCTAGGCCAGCCTTGGCTACATACCAAGACACTGTCTCAAAAACACAAGTCATGTAAGTTGGGAGTGGTGGTACAGGCCTGTGATCTCAGCATTTGGGAGGTAGAGGCAAGAGGCTGTAGTGAGATAGTCCTCTACCTCCCAAATGCCGAGATCACAAGTCTTCCTGAGCCTTTTTAGGGACACTTCTCAGTGTCTCTGTGCCCACTGCCCCCAGGGCAGTCAGTCACAAGAGGGTGCTAGCCACAGGGTGAGCAGCCCAGCAGTGCATGTGAAGAAGGTCAGACTAGCCGGGACATGTCCACCCCCTCCCCCAACCCTGCTATCTATCACAAGTGCCCCGAGGCTGCCCTGTTACCTGTTGTCCAAGGGCAGCTGCCAAATTCCCACCAGCACTGTCTCCAGAAACTGCGACTCTTGCAGGGTCTACCTTGTACTTCTCTAAGACTTCTGGCTGCAGGAAGTATCTTGTGGCACGGATGACATCGTAAATTTGCTCTGGAAAGTGGACCTGTGGAACTAGCCTATATCTGCCAAGACAAAAGTGGTGTCGTTTTAGGATGTCGTCACATTGTAAAGGCCACTCAACATGTACGGAGAAAAAAATGGAAAGTAAAAAAAAAAAAAAAAAAAAAAAAAACAACAGAAATATGTAAGAAATTAAAATAAATGTAAAACAAAGATAAATACTTTATTTTCTCATAAAATAGGTAGAGTTGGTAACTTGGTACCAACAAAAGTCCTTTAAAGATGTTCAAGCTGGCTCTCCTGGTTAGTTCAGCTGTTAATGCGGCACAGCCCAGAGTAATCTGAGGGAGTCTCAGTTGGGGGACTGCCTCCATCAGATTGGTTTGTGAGCACATGTGTGGGGCATTTCATGCTTGTTGATGTATGTGAGCGGCCCAGCACACGGTGGGTGTTGCCACCCTGAGATCTCCACCCTGACTCCCCTCAGTGGGGACTGGAACCAGGATATGTAAGCCAAATAAGCCCCCTGCCATGTTGCTGTTGGTTGTGTCTTATCACAGCAACAGAAAAGCAAACTAGAACATCAACCATGATGGGTGGACACCAATAATCCCAGGGGAAGCTGATGCAGGAGGACTTGGAGTTTGATGGGGGGGAGAGGGTGGTCTCTGTGACCACAAAAGTCAGCAGAGTGTCAAACTGTATGAGGCAAGAAGTCTCATTCAACAGGACTCAGTAACTGTTGCTGGTTCAAATGCCAAGAGTCTGACATGGATCAGGTTATTTTAGGCATAGTTAAGTAAAGCAAATTTGGAAAAAAAAGTTTCCTGGTGATAATTAACTCAATACCATGAACACAATAAAGCCTACATCAAAACTTTATAACTCCGTAAAGTACATGTGACCTCTTCCATAAAGATGGGTTCTACAGATTGAGTGCCGGTGACATCTTAGGGACCTGGGGAAGGATCTGACGTGGTCTCACTCACAGACAGAACAAAGGTCGCCAGGCTATAAACTACCTTCACTCTCAGCCTTCTGGGAGGAAATCAGGTTACACATCTCTTTCTTTGAAGCATCAACCTTGTGTGTTTAACATTTCTGGTTCCCCCACTGCTTCCCTTCGAGTACAGAACCTGTGGCCTATGCAGATTGAGGCCAGCTTGGGTCAAATAGCAAGAGCTTATCTCAAAAACAAGCAAAACAAAACAAAAATAGCTTTCACACATCAAACCTACCACCTGATGTAATGTGTAGGTACTCTTAAGACACTGTGGCTCCATAATGGATTTTGGGGATTTATTTCTGAAAGTCTATGTACCACTCATGGCAGCTCTGGTTAAAAGCTAAACATCATTAATCATTAATTCATTAATCTCACGTTTACCACGATTCTTTAAATACAGCTGTCTCTGCTGAAGGGGTCTGTGTCAGCCGGCCATTCACCCAAGGAATGCATGTGCTTGCTGGAACTCTGGAAAATGTCATTTTTAACTGGAGAAGGAAATCTAGGTTACCACAGAGCCTTGTCCAGACACTATGGGATATTTCTGAGGTTTCTCCTAGGGCACACTTTGCAAATGGCAGAGTTCTTTGTCATCTTAATTCTGCAAAACATTCCAGAACTCTGATCGTGATGGGGCCACTCTCAACATCATTACGGTATGTACCTATAGTTCAGTCTTCACACCTTCTCAGTCTCCGCCCCCTCATGTGCTTTTTATACCGAGCCTTTGAGCCTTAACTGGGAAGTCTGACTGTAATTCCACTTGCTTCCAGGCCTGAGTGAGCCATTCAAGCACTGCCTTGGGCTGGGCACACTGTAACCTCAATCACTTGGGAGGTTGAGGCAGAATCCCAAATTCAAAAGTCCTGCTGGGTTACATGGTGAGTTCAAGTCCAGCCTGGGAAACTCGGTGAGACCTTGTCATAAAACAAAAATAGAAAAAAGGCCTGGGCAATACAGCTCAGTACAGCACATGCTACTCCTCCATTGACATGAGTGGGATTACACCACTCTCTCCACTAGGTGGCGACATCTCTCAAGATTGTATTAATCCCCACTCTTCCATGTAATTTCTGATCTGAAAAAAAAAACAACAAACACCAAAAAACAAAAAAACAAAAACAAAAACAAAACAGATGCATCTCAGGAGTCAAGACAGGAAAATAATGTTTTGTTTTGTTTCTCATTCTATCACTACCTTAGTTACAGTTTCTATCTATTGCTGTAACGAAACACCATGATCAAAAAGCAAGTTGGGTCGTAAAGGGTTTGCTCAGGCAGAGCTGGAACCTGGATGCAGGAGCTGATGCAGTGACTGTGGAGGGTGCTGCTTACTGGCTTGCTCAGCCTGATTTCTTATAGAACCCACTCACAAAGGGCTGGGCCCTCCCCATGATCACTAATTCAGAAAATGACATACAGCCGGATCTTATGGGGGCATTTTCTTAATTAAGGGACCCTCCTTTCAGTGGACTCTAGTTTGTGTGTCAGGTTGACACAGAGCAGCCAGCATGGCCATTATATCATAGTACACAGCATTCCTAGTTGCATATGTGCAACTAGGTCAGTGCATATGTGCACACAGACGGTCAGCACACACGTGCACACAAGCAGTCAGCACACATATGCAATAGGATATGCACATGCATTAAGATGAACTTTCAGCACTCTTGTACCAAGGCCTCGGAGTCTTTGGGTGTCGGGAAATAAAATCTGGGAACTCGGGTACCTAGTGATCAACCCTGTCAGCTGGTAACTTGCTGAGCTAGCATGGCAAATAATCCTGTATACAATGCTAACACCTATGGTATCACTGAAGATCCACAGTCTAGTACAGCCTGGTGGGACCAGCCTGTGATCCCCCAGAGCCTGGGGGAGAAAGACTGACAGTTCCAGACTGGGTTATCAAGTGAGTTCAAGGCCAGACTGGGCAACTTACTAAGACTCCCTTCCAGTGGAAGAGTCCCCTAGCAAGTGGGAGACTCTAAATCACCATTAGTCCCCACACAAGTCCATACTCTAGGCTCTCAATTGATCTCTGTGCAATCTTTGTTAAAGACAAAGGTTAACTGTGTTGTCATGGGTGGCTTGGAACTCACAAAGATCACTGCCTCTCTCTGCCTCCCAAGCGCTGGGACCAAGTGTGGACCATTGTGCCTGGCATCTTTGCTGATGCTGAAAGCATCCATTGGTTTTACTTGGTAAGAAAGGAAACTACTTTTGGAGGCCAGAGGATGAATGTACTAGAAGCAGTATTACTCAGGTTACCTTCAAGTACTGAAAATTTACCTGAGAAATCCAACAAAGGTGGGAATAGACACAGAATTAGGAGGAAATTCATGGGGGTTTATCTAAAGAAAGTAGACAACCTGGCCTAGTGGATCAGGCCACTAATACTACCTTCTTGGGACTGGAGTGACTCTCAAGAGTGAGTTCAAAACCATCTTGGGTGATTGCAGAAGATCCTATCTCAAAATATAAAACAGAATAAAAGCCTGGATATATAGCCCAGTGGGAAGGTGCTTTACCTAGCATGTGTGAGACCCAAGAGAGGAAGGGAAGGATGGAGTGGAAGAGGGTGCCTGTGGTCAACAGATCAAGCTCCAAGTTATGTCCCTGGAAAGCACTAGAAAAATCAGTTTTATATTATAAATAAAAGGCCTGGGATTAACAGTCAGTACACACACCATCACACTAAAATTAACCAGATCAGAAGTCCAGACATCTAGCCATTCTGAATTCACATTTGATTTACACTATCAGTATTAAATATACTTTTATGCACTTATCTCAACCAAAATTAAAAAAAAATAATGACAGAACTAGAAATATAATTAGCCTTTATATCCTCTTTAATAACTTGTGTCCATTACCTGCACTTAGTCCTTCCTTGTTCCATTATAGTTAGCCTTTCTTGTTTTCTTTTCCACAAACTCTACATTTGTTTACATACTTAACACGTGTTATTGGTTGGGTTCTCTCCTCCCTCTTTCTACCCCTCCCCTTTGGGAAGCAAAGTTTCAGGTAATGCAAACAGACTGGTTTCAAATTTGTTAAGAATGACTGGGAACTCTTAATTCTACTGAGACTGTAGGCGTACACACGTGTGTGTGTGTGTGTGTGTGTGTGTGTGTGTGTGTGTGTGTGTACCTAAAGAAGACGTGGAGTGTGTTGCAGAAGTAGAATTTAAAGATGGCGCTAAAACCCATGCCCACCCCATTCTAAAACACGTCTGTTCTCGTCCAATGCTACTTCACCTTTCCTCATTTGAGCAGGAAACACTCAAGCTAGGCTTTTGGTATCTCAGAACATTTGTCATGGTTTTGATGGATTGACGATTATTTCCAATACAAAATTACTACACATTAACAACATTCTTTTCCTTGTCAGGAGTGGTGGCACACACCTGAGATCTTAGCCCTCAGGCTATGGAGGTGGGAAGACCAGACATTCAAGATAAATAATAGCCACCAACCTGAGCTGAATGTCATAAGCAAACACAAAACCTTAGCCAAAATAAAACATATGATCTCCCACACCAGATGTGGTCATCTGCACACATATGTAACTCCAGCACTGTGGTTATCTACACATGTGTAACTCCAGCACTGTGATTATCTACACACATGTAACTCAAGCACTGTGGTTATCTATACACATGTAACTCAAGCACTGTGATACTGTGCATACATGTAACTCCAGCACTGAGGAGGCAATGGAGGAGGAATGTCAAAAGTCCGAGGCTAGCCGAGCTCCAGAGCATGTACAGGCCAGCCAGAGCTGCTATATATGCAGGACTGTGTCTCAAAACACGATAAATACATCACACTCACACTCACATACACACACACTTTCCTTTTAAATTCGGCTTGTACTTCACCTAATGCTGTTTTTGAAAAACACTGAGCTGTGAGCCCTGCCCAAATATTCCAATCCCACCACCGTGGGCAGAGACCCAGCATCTATCTTAGAAGAAAAATCCCCAAGAAATCCCAGTGCTGCACGAGGTCCCCATAAGGACACCAGCACATGCTTCTGTTTCCATAGCAGCACACT